CTAATCCCTGTGGTGCTATGAACCCAGCAGTACAGACGAGGCCTTGTCACTGGAGGACAAAGATCTGAGGGACCGGGAGAGGAGAATGGCCAATAACGCCAGGGAAAGGGTGCGTGTACGGGACATTAACGAGGCCTTTAAAGAACTGGGACGCATGTGTCAGATGCACTTAAAAACGGACAAAGCACAGACCAAACTGATCATCCTACAGCAAGCGGTGCAGGTCATTCTGGGCCTGGAGCAGCAAGTACGAGGTATGGTAACAGCTGGCAGGTGCATTTCGGGGCCTTTCTCTCCCCCCACACCTCTGCGTGCGCGTGCATCTCTGTTGTGACTCCCGCTTTTGGTGCGAGGTTGTGCGTTTGCATTGCCAGCAGCACCCTCGGGTGCACCGCGCGGCAGGCTGAGCTTTCCAAAGCCCTGGCCTGGGGTGGATTTGAGGCCGCTCTGTCCCTCTCCCCTCGTGCTTAATGGGAATTTGGCACCTGGATCCCATTAAGCAGCTTTGGAAAACTCAGCCCTCGACTCCGAGAGCTGGCTGAGGCAGTTGGGGTTTTCTCTAAGCAAGCACATGTTTAAATTGGCATGGTGTTTCAGCCGGGCATGGGGTTTTGCTCTAGCAGGGGTCCGGCCAAGTTACTGCAGCCACTGCAAGGAGCGGCAGGCAAAGAGCAGCTTGCCCTGAGGTTGTTTCCTCGCATGGTCCCGTGTGTCTGTCCTGGGACTCTGTCCTCGCTCTCTCTTGCGGATGCTGTTGCCGTGCGCGATGCTGTTGCCCAAACTGAGGTTGCTTCCCTCCCTTCCTTGCTGTTTTTGGCATAGAGCGCAATCTGAACCCTAAAGCAGCCTGCTTGAAGCGTCGGGAAGAGGAGAAAGTGTCCGGAGTAGTAGGAGACCCCCAGATGACACTTTCAGCTTCACATCCTGGTCTAGGAGATGGTCACAACCCTGTCGGACACATGTAAAGGTATTGTCCCCCGCCCCGCGATCCCAGGACCCCGCTGCAGGTCCAACCCGCTGACGCACGCTGCTCTGCTTTGGCTGCTCAGCCCCACTCATTTGGCCCCAGCCAACGTCCTTCTTAATTTACCTTAAGCAAATGACTTGCACGTGCGTGTCATTTGCTCGTCCGTGGACACCCAAAGCCTCTGCCCCACAGGACGTAGCCAGGACGGAGGATTTTGGTGCTCTCGCCACCCTGAGCGAGCTCAGCTCTGCCCTGCACCTCCCAGCCCTGCCCCAGTTGGCTACTGGAAACCAGCAACTTCTTTGCCCTGTGGCCCTGTGGGAGGGAGCAGGCAGGTCCCAGAAATGCCGAGAAAGGCGCAGAAGATGAAATTCCCCCAGTGAGACCATGGCAGGCGCAGGCTCTGCTGGGCTGTCCCTGGTTTTAGGGGA